GCTCACTGGCTGAGCGAGGTGCGGGCGCAACACCGAGGGTTGCGATCCCGTTGCCGGTCCCGGTCCGGTACGGACGCGACACTGAGGGTTGCGATCTGTTGCCGGTCACGAAAAAAGACAAAAAAAAGGAAAAAAATTAAAAAAAATAAAAAAAACTATGGCTCATTAAAAATATGTCCAAATATAGACAATTTCACATGTAACATCTAGTAAACTGAGGGAATTTATCATAAAAATTTCAATTTTTTATCTTGCCACTTTTTTGTAGTAACTTTTTACTCTTTCCTTATCATGAATGTCAAATTTTATTACCTCTTGTGAAATAATTATTCTGAAATTCAAGTATTTTGCCCTTATGTATCCTTCATTTTATTTTCATACTGACTTATTTAGATTAGTGGGTTCTTCTAAATAAAACTACATTATGTATAAAAGTAATTAAATATAATTGGAATCATAATAGGAAATCTCATTTTATCTTTGATTTCCCTTTTCTAGTTGACTTGTTATAAGCAAAATTGTTTTTTGTTTTTCTAGGGATGTATATAGCACACATGCATAAAAGCATACAAATCATAATTGTATAGTTCAGTGAATTATAACAAAGTGAATACTCATGCAATCATTACACCATTCAAGAAGTAGAACATTTACCAGCAGTCCAAAAGCCCCTCCTCATGCCTGTTCCCAATCCATTAACCTTCTCTCCACCCCAAAAGTAAACACGATCTTGACTTCTACCACTATTGGTTAGTTTTGCTTGCTTGTTTTGAATTTCATATAAATGGACTCAAAGAGAAGGTATTCTTTTGTGCCTAGCTTCCTAGGGCTGGCTTATTAGCTCAGTTGTTTAGAGCACAGCTTTACAGCACCAAAGTCATGGGATCAGATCCCCATACCAGCAAGCTGCCAAATAAAGGTACAGATTGTGTCTAGCTTCCTTTACTAAATATTATGTTTGTAAGATTTTATCCACTTTGTAAGTAACTGTTGTTTATTTTCATTGCTATGTAATATTCTTCCATTATATGAATATACCACAATTTATCTATACTACTGTTGGACATTTGGGTTGTTTGCAATTTAGAAAGATTATATATAATTCTTCTATTAACATTCTGTGCACACATTTTTGTGGTTTTATTCCTAGAAGTAGAGTTGGGTCATAGGGTGTCCATATGTTCACTTTTAGTAGATTATGCAAATTGATTGTAACAAATTATAACTCCACTCTTAGTGTATGAGATTTCCTATTATTTCATATACTTACCATCCCTTGGTATCATCAGTTTTTTATATTTTTAGCTATTCTCATATATAATGATATCTCTCTGAGATTTTAATTTGCATTTCTGTATGACAGATAATATTGACTACTTTTTCATGTTTATTGGCCATTTATATATGACCTTATGAAGTGCTCGTTCCAGTCAGTTTCTGTTCTTCATTTTGCTTATCTTTTTCTTGATGATTTGTAGAAGTCCTGTATAAATTCTGGATAAAGCCTTTTTGTTTTGTTAAATCCTTTTTTTCTTTAAAATTTTACATAGGTGGAATGAATGGCTGAATTACGATATATACATTCCTGATCTTCCTCGTGCTGCTCGACTTTGCCTCTCCATTTGCTCTGTTAAAGGCCGAAAGGGTGCTAAAGAGGTAAAGTATTTCAAAAGGAACAATTATGTTTACCTCTAAAAACTTCAAATTATCGTGCTGATTGAATTTTTCTCACAAAATTTATAGTATTTTTTCTTCATTTAAAAAAATTAATAAATCAAAACTTTTAAAATTTTTTAATAAAGGTATGACAAAGGTATCATAGAAGAATATCTTGGGAGAGCTTCAGGAATTTATGATGAATGAGTATATCCTGAGTTCATACTTACATAATTTCTTAACATACAAAGCTACTACATAACAGTGACTACACGCAAGTATCTGTCATGCTTACTTCAGTTCATATTTCCTACTTATTATTAAAGAAAAAATGGGAAAAAGGAAAGAAAGTGCTTACACTTTGAAAAACCAATGTGGCTTTTGGTAGATATAACCCTGTTATAGAGTCAGTTGTTGAATTCTCCTTTCTGGGGAAGGAAATTGTTTTGAAATGCATTTTATAATTTAATCCATACGGTTGGATTTTTTTTGTGTGTTTGTAGGAACACTGTCCATTGGCCTGGGGAAATATAAACTTGTTTGATTACACAGATACTCTAGTATCTGGAAAAATGGCTTTGAATCTTTGGCCAGTACCTCATGGATTAGAAGATTTACTGAACCCTATTGGTGTTACTGGGTCAAATCCAAATAAAGTAAGTTTTTTATTATCATAAATTAGGTTTGTTTTGTTTTGCTTTTTTTTTTTTTTTTTTTTTTTTTTTTTTTTTTTATGACAGTGAAGCACTAGATATATATCTATATATATATTTATATATATCTTTTTTTCCATCTCTTAGGAAACTCCATGCTTAGAGTTAGAGTTTGACTGGTTCAGCAGTGTGGTAAAGTTTCCAGATATGTCAGTGATTGAAGAGCATGCCAACTGGTCTGTATCCCGAGAAGCAGGATTCAGTTATTCCCATGCAGGACTGGTAAGGCAAATCACTTAGTTGCTTAAGTATGTTATAATCTGTGGATTTGGGTATATACTCTTTGTAATACTCTTTGTATTGAAAAGTTTTCATGTATTTTAGTTATACTGGCATAGATACTGTGAGCTATAGGACAGTATTGCAATAGAATAAAATTCTCTATATGCTAATATTTTTTTTTTTTTTTTGTCCTTTTTGAGACTGGCTGCACTGTGCTCAGCCAGTGAGTGCTGTGAGCGCACCGGTCATCCCTATATAGGATCCGAACCCGCGGCGAGAGCGCTGCTGCGCTCCCAGCGCTGCACTCTCCTGAGTGCGCCATGGGCTCGGCCCTATATGCTAATATTTTTATTGCAGCTCTGCTTCCTCTTGGTTTATTCAAAGCCCTAGTCTACCTTCATTCATTAACAAATATTTATTGAATGGACTAAATAATAAAGTTGTAAACTAAACTGACCTCCATTGACATACAGTCTAATGGTGAAAATAAACATTAAACAGATAAAAGCAGAAATACAATATTATAAATCATGGTAAATGCCATGAAGGAAAAAATAATAGTGTGCCAATTATAACTAACTGAGGGTGGGGAGGAAGGACTAATATATATTGGGTTCAGAAAATTATATCTCTGAGATAATTTAAATTAACATTGAAGTTGAGACTAAGTATTAAATATGTTGTTAGTTGAACTCGGAAGCAGAGGAAATAGCAAGTCTTCACCACATTAGTCCAGGTCCCCCAGAAAAAAAATTGTACTCATATATAAAATGGAGTTTATTTTGTTTTGGATTTTTTGGTGACTGGCCAGTATGGGGATCCAAACCCATGACCTTGGCGTTACCAACACCATAATCTCCCAAGTGAGCTAATCGGCCAGCCCCTCAAGGAATTTAAATATTGATTTAATTGTCTAATCTTGGCGCCATAACTTTGGAACCACAATATAACTGGATTCCAGGACCATTAACTCTCCCTTATTTCTCAAGAGCAGAAGTGTCAGTACTAAGAGAAGATATTTTTCTTCTTTGATGTCTCTCCTCCAGTTTCCAAATTTATCACTTTTTCTTTGGGCTGGTTGTAGGTTATAGTTATAGATAGACCAGCCAATGACTATTGGGCCAAAAGGTCCTGAAATTTGCCTACCCCAATAACAGTAATAACAGCACCAAGAGGCAGCCTGAAATACTGCACTTAGGAACTTTATTAGTTTACAGCTGTATTCTCAGGAAGGAATTTACCAATCCCTTTTGTAAACTGAGTGATAGTATCTTTCCTGCATGTATAATTTCAAAGATATGAGGGGTTTTTTGAGCAGTTCTAACTCTTTGTGAGGATTGATATTTTCTGACTTGTGTTCTTTCTTAGAATTTTCCTTTCTTTTGGGCTGGCCCATGGCTCTCGGGAGAGTGCAGTGCTGATAACACCAAGGCCACGGGTTCGGATCCTATATAGGGATGGCCGGTTAGCTCACTGGCTGAGTATGGTGCTGACAACACCAAGACAAGGGTTGAGATCCCCTTACCAATCATCTTTAAAAAAAGAAAAAGAAAAAGAATTTTCCTTTCTTTCAAAGAAAAAAAGTTGCTTATTTTTATAATAGAATAAAGCTATTTTATCTTTCAATTACCATTTGGGTATATTGGCAACTTTTATAAATCTAAGATACCTTATGGGATTTTAATTTTCCTGTATCTTAAAATATCTTACTATTTCATCACTCTAGGAATTATTTCATCATTATTTATTAATTATTTCCAACTATGCTAAAAAAAAAAAAAGACTAAAATAATGTGAATATGTAGAAGAAGGACAGAATAACCTAAAAGGATGATACAGTAGTGAAATAAATCATCACTATTACATCATCCTTGTATTTTGTTTGCTTGTTTCTTGGGGTTTTTTAGTCTTTTATTGGACACTGAAATTCAGAATTTTTCACTTTCTATCCATTATGCCAAAAAGAAGAAAATTGACAGAGGAAGATATTTCACAATTATTAGACAAATCACAATATGAATGCAAAAAGATAAATAATACCATTTTAGAGAAGTTTCTCAACCTTGTCACTATTGATATTTTGGGCCAAATAATTCTTTGTTGTAGGGGCTATCCTGCATTACAGGATGTTTAGCAGCATCCCTGGCCTCTACCCTACTAGATGCCAGTAGTACAATCATACCAAGTTGTGACAATCAAATATGTCTCCAGATATTACCAAAGGTACTTTGGAGGCAGAGGGGGCATTATCACCCCAGTTGAGAACCCTGCTCCAGACTCTAATGGTGATGGTGAAATTTATCATATAAATGAAATATCAGATGACAACATCCTAATGAATTTTCTCAAACTCAAGATAACAATCAGTGAACAATACATTTCTAAGGACAAAAAGGAAATAAGGTATTCACATTCAGTTAGTCATTCAACAAGAATGACTTTGTCACACAATATTTTGTGAGAAGAACCTCAACAGCCCCATGTTTTACAGTATTCTTTCCATTTTTTATGATGTGAACCAAAATGTACTTGATAGACTTTCTAAGTGGACAAATGCTGAAGGCAGGTATGTATACAAAGGTGACTAGAAAGAAAAAGGTAATGTAGAAATTTTAAAAATCCATGGATTGATCATTCTGATTGGTCTCTATGAGTATAAAAATGGAAATATTTTGCAATTATGGAGCAAAGAAGTTGGCCATTTTCTCTTTATGAGCCTTTAGAGTTTTCAGAAGTATTGCATTTTGACAATGTAGTTTGCGGTTTAACAAAGATATATTTATCTTCAAAATCAGGAAAATATGGATAAAAATTTGGTTTTACTGTGTTTAAATTCTTATTAAAATGTTTATTAAAATTGTTTTTTTACCATCACTTTATTCTTCTGCAAATTATTTTATATTAAAAATATAAACAAAAAAAATAATATAAAAGAAGAGTCCATTGGACCCAGATGATAATTGTATTGACTACTTTTCCTGGTAAATTGAGAGTTAAATATTTATTATTTCATGCCTCCACTATTACAATAGCCTCCTAATTGGTCTGTCTTCTTCTGCAGAGCAGCCAGAATAATCTTTATGAAAAATAAATCAAATCATGGTATTCATCCTTTAGCTTTCATTAAAAATAAAATCCAAATTTTTTTACCCTGACCTGCAAATTTTATATGCTCTGAACTCAACCTCTTCTCCCCTTTTCCTTGTCTATTGCGTGTTAGGCCAACTGGCTTTGTTGCTATTTCTCCTTCACACTAAACTTATTCTCCACTTAGAGTCCTTGTACTAAGTATTTCCTCCATCTGCAGTAATCTTTCCATGGTCTTAGTAAGGATAGTGCCTACTTAAAATTTGTATCACAAATTAAATACTGTGTTCTGATAGGCATTTTCAAATACCCAGTCTAAAGTAGCCACTTAGTCATTCTCTGAGAGTAAGTCACCCAGAGTACATATATTAACTATTCCAATATTTTTCTTATTTGTTTCTTATTTGTTCGTGCATGGTTTTTTACTACTGTATTTTGTAACACCAACAACAAGTACACAACAAGGCACATGGTACATATTTAATAAATATTTGTCGAACGAATATGTTCCTGCAATATTTCTTCATCCCATTGAATAAATGAACAAAGTGTAAATGTACAAAAACAAGTACCGGGCCGGCCCGGTGGCACACTGCTACAGTGCGCCGCTTGAGAGCACGGTGGCGCTCCCGCTGAGGGTTCGGATCCCACATGCAGACCGGTTCCCGCTCACTGGCTGAGCGAGGTGCGGGTGCGACACCGAGGGTCACGATCCCGTTGCCAGTCCCGGTCTGGTACGGGCGCGACACTGAGGGTTGCAATCCGTTGCCGGACACGAAAAAAGAGACAAAAAGGAAAAAAAAAAAAAACCAAGTACCATGGATGTCTGCTTTGGTTTTTAGCATTAGAAATATGTGTAACCCATTCTGAGGGGTGTGTTTTTGTTTTGCATGTTAATGTGTATTCATAATTATTTACTATACAGTTTATATATTTACATTTAAAGAGAATAAATACATTACTTGGAATTATGTAAAAAGTTATGTTATATTCCTAATATTCAGTGCACAGTGTTTTAATGAGATTTCTTCCCTTATTTATTTTAAAGAACTACGGCAATTATAAGGATGTGTTCAGGCAAGGAACATGAAAGAGTTTGCATTTTTATTTTATAATTTTACTGTTTTTTATCTCGTTATACCAGAAACATTAACAGATTAGTTAATAGGATACTAAGAAGGAAGCTTATCAGTAAGAGATGTAAGCTACTCACTACTGTCCTCTAGTATCCCAATCTGGTCTTCTCCCTAAATCTGCAGGTACCGTTCTAACTGTGGTTGGTGGTAATATTAACCAAGTAAGTTATTGGATTTGTTCCACCAATACTGTGTCTTAAATTGATTCTTTCCTGTCCCTAAATATAAAGTCTTGCAATAAGAATAAATTATTTTACAGCAGTTAATAAACAATGCAAAGTTTATTGCAAATTAATTTGCTTCTGTCCTGGGGGGAAAATATGGCAAAGAAAACTATATATAAGATATTACTTTATTTTACAGAGTAACAGACTAGCTAGAGACAATGAATTAAGAGAAAATGACAAAGAACAGCTCCGGGCAATTTGTACACGAGATCCTCTATCTGAAATCACTGAGCAAGAGAAAGATTTTCTGTGGAGTCACAGGTAAGTGTTTATTAAAATAGAGATTCTCTGGTTTTTTTTCTTTATTACAGAAGGAAGAACTGACTTTGGCTGATCTTGCCATATTTTTGCCATAACTATTACAGTAAATAAAGCACAATTTACATGATTTTTAAATTTATATACATTGTCTTAATTACTATGGATATGGATCAATATTTCTAGAAAATCATGCTGCATTGCTACTTTGCACATTTAAGGCTTTTTAAAATTCTGAGTCCCTAATATGACTCTAAGGATTTTTAAAAATAAAATTCAAGATTTAAAAAAAAAAAATTAAAGTTTTAAGTCAATTTATTTGTAATTTACATGGTCTGAATATTACAATTTTCAGGAATTCCCTTCCATTTTTCTTTTTTTCTTACACTTTTGCAAAGTAATAGTGTAATGTCTTATTTTAACTTATGAAGAAATTATTCTGCTACTTGGTAAGTGACTTTGGTATATTTAAATAATGCGGTTGCAGTACATTTCTGCAGAAAGTCCATTAAAACATAAACTTTATTCATTGGCCACCGTAAAAGTGGTGAGTCTGTGGTTCATATTGTGTACGTAAGTGAATAACATGAGCTATATAAAGAGTGGTATAATGTATGTTCATCATTTTTCTTAACTATCAACTAAAATTTAGTACTTATCCTCCATTGGGATTTTCTTCTTTGCCATTATAACTATGCCTAAGTGTATATGTGCACGTATATACAACTATAGTGTTAGACACTGATCCCTTTTGATTTTAAAAAAGGCTAGTAATGGTAAGAAGTTTGAAACTCCTTAAAGATTGCATAATTGAAGAGTTAGACATCTAAACTTTTTGAATAACATGGAAGAATGTTTTTTATTTTGTTTTGTCTTTCCCACACAGACACTATTGTGTAACTATCCCCGAAATTCTACCCAAATTGCTACTGTCCGTTAAATGGAATTCTAGAGATGAAGTAGCCCAGGTAAATGCATGTTTGAGATTACTGAATAACTGTTGCTCAGATTTGGTATGTCACTCAAATTATTTTCTCTCAGAAAGTCTGCATAGGGCTGGCCGGTTAGCTCAGTTGGTTACAGCACGGTGTTACAACACCAAGGTCAAGGGTTCGGATCCTCGTACCGGCCAGCTGCCAAAAAAAGAAAAAAAAAAAGTAAGTCTGCATAAATATAAAACATGAAATTGACTATGTTTAAAATTAATTAATAATGGTAGTATAGTAGAGAAAATACTGTTACTATCATTTTCACAGGTAAAACTAATTAGAACTGAAAACTTTAGGTAAATTTTAAGGGGGTCTATGAACTAATTTTAGAGTCAGAAGTTAAGACAGTGTTTTAGAGGGTTTATTCACAACTATCTGTGCTTTTTAAATATGATTTATTGTCTTTCTCATATGCAGATGTACTGCTTGGTAAAAGATTGGCCTCCAATCAAACCTGAACAGGCTATGGAGCTTCTGGATTGTAATTACCCAGATCCTCTGGTTCGAAGTTTTGCTGTTCGATGTTTGGAAAAATATTTAACAGATGACAAACTTTCTCAGTATCTAATTCAGCTAGTACAGGTAAAATAATGTAAAATAGAAAGTAATATTTTATTATAAATCCATGCAACTTCCAAAACCTAACGTATTAACCAGTTTTATGCTTTTTTAAAAAAAATCTTTTATTCCCAGTAGTATATACTTTCTTTCTGAAAATTTTTCTTTAAATCCAGCCATGCAGAAACTGGCCCTAATTTGTTTTTTTATCATGTAGGTCCTAAAATATGAACAATATTTGGATAACCTGCTTGTGAGGTTCTTACTCAAGAAAGCACTGACTAATCAAAGGATTGGACACTTTTTCTTTTGGCATTTAAAGTAAGTCAGACTCCCCATTAAATCCTTTAATGTATGTTACTTGCTTTTTTAATAGATGTATAAGTATGTATTAATAACATACTTTTGTTTTTGTTTGGCTAGAAGAGTTTCCCATGATCGTAGCATACTGTACCAGTGGATGAGTTCCTCCTCAACATTTTCTTTTCAAAATTAAATAAGCAGTAAAATTCAAAACTGAATTTTATACATGAATGAGAGCTGAAATATTTTTTAAATATTTTGATTCTACTTTAAGCCAAGTAGAATTATTAGGTACAGATTAGTGTGGCTGTAGGTTTCACTGTGTGTGTGGATTAAAATATCCCAAAATAAAGGAAAAAAGTCTTACCTCGAAATTCAGAACAATAACAACAAAATCCCGTTTCTTACTAGAAAGCAAAGCAAGCTAATTAAGAATAAAAAATACGGCTGGCCAGTTAGCTCAGTTGGTTTGAGCACACTGTTATAATACCATGGTCAAGGGTTCATATCCCCAAACTGGCCAGCTGCCAAAAAGGAAAAAATATATATATTTTGCAGAATGTGATATATCTAGTACTCAAAGTTAGAGGTTATAAACCATATAGTTTTTATAAATTTAGAATCAATTTGTGTCTAATATGATTTTTAAATGTTAAAATAAAAATTAGAACCTAGAAGCTAGGTTTAAAATAACTTAAATTTAAAGACAGTATAGGAAAGTGTAGACATGTGTGCCAGAGGAATCCAAGAATCCAGTAGTTCTCACCAAGCTGTTAGTTCCCTCCTATTCATTTTATTTTGGGGGGTAAGTGGGGATCAAACCTTGGACCTTGGTGTTATCAGCAGCACCCACTAACCAGCTGAGCTAACTGGCCAGCCCTCATTTTATTATTTTTGTGCCCAATTTTCTTTTTCCATGTTTTTGTATCTTGTGCTGAAATTAGTGGATAAAAAGTAGTTGAAATAAACCTAAAAACTAATTGTTTACTAAATTTACATGTCCAGGAACTACCTGAGATTCTCGATTGTTTTGCTTCTAAATGATGGGTTTGGAATCTTTTTATTGTTAGTATGATTGTAACATTTATTGGATTTAGAAAATGGGTGGTCTTATTTTTTTAGAAAGATTATATATATCCTCATTTATGACCATATATATAAATCTCACACTATTCTTTTAGATCTGAGATGCACAATAAAACAGTTAGTCAGAGGTTTGGCCTGCTTTTGGAGTCCTATTGTCGTGCATGTGGAATGTATTTGAAGCACCTGAATAGGCAAGTTGAGGCTATGGAAAAGCTCATTAACTTAACTGACATTCTCAAACAGGAGAAGAAGGATGAAACACAAAAGGTATGTAGTCTTCAGTTTGTTTTTGAAACTCTTTTCATTGAAGTTGGGGAGGGTTGTTTAGAAGCCCAGTGTATGTACAGATCATTGTCCTTAGAATCAGCAAATTAGAATTTGGATCCAATTTCTACTGCCTCTTCTTAGCTGTGTAATGTTAGACTCATTATTTAGTCTCTCAAGATTCATTTTTCTCATTTGTAAAATGGGGATAATACTTTCTTCACAGGGTTATATGAAAATTCAATTGCATGAGATATGCAAAGCAGCTATCACAGTCCCTAGAATATGGGTGGTACCCAAATGTTAGTTCCCTCTACGTTTCCTTCCTTTCTCTTTTATGTAGCTCTAAGTATTTAGAATGGTTCTTTCCTTACTGTCATTTATTATATTTCTTAGTAATGATCAGTGGTACCCAAATGTTAGTTCCCTCTACGTTTCCTTCCTTTCTCTTTTATGTGGCTCTAAGTATTTAGAATGGTTCTTTCCTTACTGTCATTTATTATATTTCTTAGTAATGATCCTGAAAATGAGTGGAAAGAAATTCTTTTTTACCTAAGTTTAAAATGGACTTATAGTCACACAGAAAATATATCACACACTCTAGTCATCTTCAATCTAGGTCAGTGTAACTAAGGAATATGAAATATAACGTAAAGGTTTTTCATGACCTTTTGCTACTCTCTATCCTTTATTCAATCCAATCCACCACATCCTATAGTAAAAACTGAGATCTTCCTCACCTCTAGTGAAATGGAAAAATTTTTTTAAAAAGTTTATTGGTGAGTCCCCAAAGGGCAGAGAATATAAATTAGCAGTACTGAATGAATTTTTCCAACACCTTCATTAATATTATTTGGAGCAAAAAAACTTTAAAAGAAAGTTATTGTATTAATATAAATGTCATATAGTATGTGACTGAGTTGCTTTTATTGAAGTTGTGGCATATAAGTTTAAATATAGGATATTAGAAAATAATTGTATTGTTTCTGATGCTGGAATTTATTGGCAAGAGGGAACTAGACTGCCTTGAAAGAACAAAACTTATATTTATATTGTAATTGAGCTAAGAAAAAAGAAACATATATTAGATACATTTGTAAATATAGATGCTCCTGTACTTACCATGGGATTGCATCCAGTAAACCCATTGAGTTGAAATATAAGGTGAAAATATAGTTAAGTCAAAAATGGCCATTTTGTAGACATGATGGGGTGTGAAAATACAAAACACAATATCCGGAAAATGCTGGTAACACAGTACACTGTGGATTATCAGTTGTTTATCCTGCATGATTGACTGGGAGCTGCAGGTCAGTGCCACTGCCCAGCATTGCTAGAGAGAATCATACAGTTTATTTCTAGCCCAGGAAAAGATCAAAATTCAAAATTGTAAGTATGGTTTCTATTGAATGCATATCGCTTTCGCACCATCACAAAGTTGAGAATGAAAAATCATAAGTAGGTCCATTGTTAAGTTAGGGACCATCTGTATAGGCTGGAGTTTTCATATCACAAATTGGCTGTGATACAGTGGATTAATTAGGAACATGATATTCATTACTCAGATCATTATTGCCTTAAGATTGTTATAGGGAACTAAAATTGCAGTCATAGAAACAAAAGGAGTTACTTTGAGTGGTTTTGTGTTATAACAATGAATGAGAGTATATGAAGCACTGTGATAACATTAGGGTTGACAGTAATAGAAAAAGAAATGCCTTTACATGAGCAAGAGCTACTAGTCAGTGATAACTAGAGCTATTCAATTACATAGTAAGAAGGAAAAAAAAAATTATTCCTAAAATTCCAGCGTGAAAATTAATTCATTATCAATTCCTAGCTCCTAACCTCTTTTTCCCCCCCACTCACATTTTATATTTTCAATAGATGGAAATTTCCTAAAATAAAATGCCAGACGTTGTATGTTAGCTTAGCAGTCTAGGCTCTGGTTTGAATCGATCAAAAAGGGATATTTCTTTGTAACTATGTACTAGAAACTGAGCATAGTGTGAGACTCATGTAACAAATGTTTTTACAAGGTTTTTTCCCTACAATTTCTTTTGCCCTCACTAGACTTTTCTTATCCAGTAGAGAGAGAGTGAATGTGTTTTCTGAGAAGCCTAAAAGTAAGGTTATTTAGCTAAGATAACATGTTCTCTAGTTTTTCCTGTAGAAAAAGGATCAGCAAATTTTTTCTTAAAGGGCCAGGTAGTAAATGTTTTAGACTTTGCAGGCTTTGTGGTCTCTGTCTTAACTACTCAACTCTGCTGTTGTGAAAGCAGCCAATATGTAATGAATGTGCTTGGCTATATTCTAATACAATTTGATTTACAAAAATTGACAGCCAACCTTCAGACCATAGTTGACCAACCTGCTCTAGAGCCAAAACATTGCCTCTGTCAGCAGAGTTCATCTTCTCACAGGAAAGTACACAGTGTAACCACTCTTGCCTCTCTGAGTTATGCTGCTCTGTGTTATAGCAACACTTCTCATTAGAATGTAGCCAATCCAGGATATGGATTCAAAGACTACACAATACTGAGGTTTCAGTGTGCAGAAGAGATTAGCAGTTACCTTTTATGAAATCAGTTTCTAATTGTGATTATGCTTTTTTATTAGGTACAGATGAAGTTTTTAGTTGAGCAAATGAGGCGACCAGATTTCATGGATGCTCTACAGGGCTTTCTATCTCCTCTAAATCCTGCTCATCAACTAGGAAACCTCAGGTAAGGTACTTTCTTGGGAGTTTTATTGATACATTTAAATAAGTACCTTTTTCTGGATAAAATCTTGAGAAAAGTTAAAATGTTCATTATAATTAAAATGTCCAATTATATTTGCTTCCCTCTCTCATTCTCCTACCCTACAAAATAGGAGTAGTAAAATTGTCTTAAGCTGAGAAACACATTTATTCAGAATGAGTTTTTACTACCTTAATAATAGATTTTAAAACCTTCTATGGCCGGAATTTCTGGTATCGTAGGATAAGAAATGGAATGTAATATCTATAAAACTAAAGTATGTTACAATTTATTGAAAATGTGCTGTGTATTTTCAAATTAATTTGAGAGTAAAAAGAATAACAAAGCTAAGGTGCCTAGCTTACTAGTTTTTAACTATTTTATAGGCTTGAAGAGTGTCGAATTATGTCCTCTGCAAAAAGGCCACTGTGGTTGAATTGGGAGAATCCAGACATCATGTCAGAGTTGCTGTTTCAGAACAATGAGATCATCTTTAAAAATGGGGATGGTAAGGGAGAGTATTAATGAGCTTATGATGTATGAATTTAGCTATCTTTTTATACACAGGATATTTATGAACCATGAAAACTGTTGAAAGCCATTTAAGGAATACACATATAATAAAATATGTAATATTAAACAGATGTCTTTGCAGTATGCATGTGTAATCATTGAAAAGAAAAGTACAAGGTTTAGAATCAGAAGTCCTGAAATCAGTTTTTAACTACCATTTGCATAGCTGTGTGAGCATCTATTCATTCCATAAATATTCTATGTGCTAGGTCCTAGGGTTGTAGCAATAAACAAAATGGAATCCCTGCCCTCTTGGAGCTTAGTCCATAAGAGGGAAAAGAGGAACATTAAACAAATAATTACAAAAATAAAACTACAGCCATGATACAAAGGAAAAGTATAGTCTGCTAAGAAGGTCCTAATTTATTTGGAGAACAGGCTGTGGGAAAGAGGGGGATGATCATCGAAAGGTTTCCATTAGGAAAGACATTTTAGCTGTGACTCCTGTTAATCCCAGTATTTTAATATATATAAACACATGTTCAAATTTAAGAATTCAGAAAAATAAATATTTTAAATATTTTAAATTAAAATGTTTTTGGAATAAATGATGGCTTATCCTACATTGTTATACAGATAAGTTTATGCATATGCTTTAGAATTGTGTTAAAGAATCAGAATACTGCTCTTTTTTTTTTTCTTTATCTTGAAGAGATATGGCTCTATTTGTTTTCCATTTGAAAAAAATGTGATGGCATGATTTATGGCATAAATTTTGCATTTGTGGCATTAAGTGGTAATACATATTATTTGAATTTCAGATTTACGGCAAGATATGCTAACACTTCAAATTATTCGCATTATGGAAAATATCTGGCAAAATCAGGGTCTTGATCTTCGGTATGTAACTAATAAGGCAACCTATATGTTAAAAATTATTCTGAAAAAGTAAACTATTAATAAATATTAATCATAGCATATAGAGGCATATATCTACAAAGAAACATGTGCAGTAGTGATTAACAATAGTTGAATATGCTATGGTACTTTTATTTGTCCTCTTCTTACTTGGCTTAGAATAGCTGAGGAGATTCAGCTAGGTAAAAAGAGCTCTCTCTAATAAGCTAGTAAAGACTCTGGAACTGTTTCTGGGGCATTACCATTAGGAACAGTACATAGGCCCCTGTTTTCATTCAGAAGTTGAGTTTAAAAGAAAGATAAAAAGAGCTCTCTCTAATAAGCTAGTAAAGACTCTGGAACTGTTTCTGGGGTATTACCATTAGGAACAGTACATAGGCCCCTGTTTTCATTCAGAAGTTGAGTTTAAAAGAAAGTTTCACAACAGAAAGTTTCTAATATAAAATCCTCTCATTTTGAGTCAGTTTTGCAGCAAAATTTATGGAATCAACTAATCTTAAAGTAGTTTTTTTTTTTTTTTTTTAAAACCCGGTCTATTAGTTTCTGCCCAGTTTTCCACAATTACCAGCATTATCTCTAAGTTTTTCATTGTGCTTCATCTTCTCCTAGTCATTGTTGTTTCTAACAATTTTTCCTTCTCTGGCTCGTTTCTTTGCAAATTTATAGTCATTTAGGTAAAATTCCGGCCACCCTCTCTGAAAGTACTTTTGTCTGTAAGTGGGCACAAGAGTCAAGTCTAGCTGCAGCAACAGGATAGATTAGGTAGAAATAGCAAAAGTAATACCAGGCAAGGGTTTATTGTAGATTAAGAGTAAATTAAGAGTAGCTAGTATATAAAAATGTGTTGGTGACAAATAGTAATACCCTTTTATTGCAAAGAAGAAAATGGACATTTCAAGTAACCTACTAAGGCACAAAATTGAGTCATCAACTTCAGATCCTTAACTCCTGATTCATTGCTTAATCCCTGCCACTTTCCAAAGACAATGTTGTATGAATCAAGTTTCTTTTTTGGGTATAATTTCCTGTGTTGTGAGAGATCCACATGCCATCACCACCACATCCCCCAGAGGAGTGGTGTGTAAAAAAGATTGTAGGACTAGAAAGAGTGAAAGATTTAACTATACAACCCTGGTAATTAACAACATTTAATTGTAAATTAGTGACTGCAAAATAGCATCTAAAGTTACACATTGAAAATATTAAGTGTTTTTCATGGGCCGGCCCGGTGGCACACTGCGCTAGTGCGCCACTTGGGGAGCGTGGTGGCGCTCCCGTCAGGGGTTCGGATCCCACATACAGACCGGTTCCCGCTCACTGGCTGAGCGAGGCGCGGGGGCAACACCGAGGGTTGCAATCCCGTTGCCGGTCC